ACCTTTCACACATGCAAAGCAATGACCATGCTTGTGATTTGTATCAGGAGTCAAAGCTGGTGAGGCCGCCCCTCGAATGCTGTGCTCAGCGCTGGGCCCCTCACCCCAAGGCGGCCATGGAGGGGCTGGAGCGTGGCCAGAGCAGGGCAGCGAGGCTGGGGCAGGGGCTGGAGCCCAAGGCTGGGGAGGAGCGGCTGGGGGAGCTGGGGGGGCTCAGCCTGGAGAAGAGGAGGCTGAGGGGAGCCCTCATCGCTCTCTGCAACTGCCTGAAAGGAGGCTGGAGCCGGGGGGGTCGGTCTCTTCTCCCCAGGAACAAGCGATGGGACGAGAGGGAACAGCCTCAAGTTGTGCCAGGGCAGGTTTAGATTAGATATTAGGAAAAGTTTCTTCACAGTGAGAGTGGTCAGGCCCTGGCACAGGCTGCCCAGGGCAGTGGGCAATCACAGTCCCTGGAAGTATTCATAAAGCGTGTGGATGTGGTGCTTAGGGACAGGGTTTAGAGGTGGACCTGGCAGTTAGGGTAACGGTTGGACTCAATGATCTCAGAGGTCCTTTCCAACCTTAACGATTCTATGATTCTATGAAAATGGAGCCTTTTTTTTTTTTTTCTAAGCAGCACCTATGGTATTAACCCAGGCCTGAGCACTTCATTTAAACTTACCTGGCCACCAAAGGAGACAAGAGGCTGGGATGAAGGCTAGGGGAAGCCAAGCAGAAGATCAGTGGAAATACAGACCACACAACTCAAAGTGCTCCTGACAGGAATAGGTGGTGATGCACATCTGCATTCGTATGGCTTGGGTCCAGGTAGGGATGAGTTTGAACTCATCTAAACCTCAGAGCTGGTCTTGGTGTTCCACAGAAAAATAATAATCATAACAGAGCACAGTATGCTTTTTTGGATGCTATTTAATGCTTGGTGAAGATCTGAGAAGCGCCTCAGCCATGCAAGTGGGCATAAAGGTGTAAGGAATTGGTATGAGGTGCCAGCCTGGACCACTGGGCACAGAGTGGTCCACGGCTCGAGGTCTACCTGGAGGCTGGCTCAAACATCTGCTCCTCAGCCTTGGCGCTGAGCACAGAAACCAGGGCAGCCTCAGAGCCCATGTGATGGCACAGAGGAAGAAGCCAGAGTCGACCGATATGGACCTGGTCATGGTGCCTACAGGAGGACTCCCAGGCCCATGGTTGGAGAAAGCCATCATATGTCACTCAAGCAAGGAAAGATGGAATTGTCCAAGGGCTCAAAGGAGCAGCAACAGTGGCACTGGGCAGGTCTGGGTCCTGTCTAGACACTAGCGGCATCTGGGATGTGGGTCGGAGGTTTTCTGTACCACCCTCAGCAGTGACACAATGACAACGGAGGTGGTGTGAAGGCAATGAAGTCCAAACGGGAAAGGAAAAGAGTCCACAGGAGGAAAAACTGAGCATGAGTTCAACAAGGGGCAACTGAAAGGAACTGAAATGACCGCAAATACAGTCCCTTCTGCATGCCACAGAGTCACAGCGGAAAAGAGATGAGAGGGATCCTCTCCCTCCTGCAGAGCATGGGCATACCCAGTGCAGGGATGTACAGGTGGACTCGCATCCAGCCACCGGCTTCTGTCGGCTCCTTCAGCTCTGACAGCTTCTTCAAGAACAAATATCAGGACACAAAGGCAGGCTGCAGTGCCTACAGAATCCCAGAGCAGCTCCAATTCATGGAAAAAGGCACTGTAAGGTAAGGAGCTGGGTCCTCCTGCATCTGCCCACAGGAAAGGGCTCTCCCTGGTGTGTGGTCGGATTTTGTCTTCTACCTGGAGATCACCCAATCAGGGATCTTGGATTCTGGATGAACAGTGGGGACAGCAGGTGGTTCAAAATATCCCAAGTATTGTGCTGGCAACAGGAACCTTCCAGAAAAAGCTTCATGTGGTGGAAACACTGAATTTATGCAAACTGACGGCCTTCAACCACCGCTAACCTTTCATACTGTGTAGCTCGACACAGCAAGACTTTCTTCAGCTCCGTTATCTGCCTTCCCTTCTCTTGACACAATTCTCACCCTCCAAGGAGCCAACGCGAGAGCCAATGCCAGGTTAATCCACCCATTCACAAATACTTCTGGTCCTGAGCTGTGGCATGACCAATGATCCCTGCCAGTCTGCTCTGGCGCTCCCCTTCACTGAATCGGGTGCTCCTGGGGCGGCGCCATCAAGCCAAGCACTACAGACACTCATGGCTGGCCCCTCTTGCCCAACACCGTCTTCTCTCCCAGTGAGGCTGCTGCGGTCCAGTTCTGCCCACCTGCCTGGACAGTCTCCAAGCCCTCTGTGGCTTCCAGGCAGGAGAGACGCTTGTCCCAGCACCAGGAGACTTGGCAGTAGGAACTACCCTTAGCTCATCTGGACTTTGCAGACATTGACTGCTCTTGCAAAAATAGAGAAGCCTGCGAGGCTGTGAGCATCAGCTGCCCTTTCCCCAGAGCGTGGGCATGGCCGCCTGCCCTCCTCGCAGGGACGAGGTGTCCTGAGCCACCAGAACCTCCCTCTGCAGCAAACAGGGCTCACCTGAGAGGCACCCCATGAGCACAGAGGGCTCAGCAGTCTTCCAGAGAAAGAAAATATATCCAGGTCTCCCTGCACTTTTTTAAATTTAGCATAAGCAGTTCCGAAGGCTGCTTTTCTTCTGCACAGCTGCCTCCACCGGGAGGACGGGCCTGGAAGCCAGGTATTTCAACAGCTTTTAATGAATCTTCCCATTCATGTCTGACCTTTTACAAAATGAAAATAACAAGGTCACAGTCGCATCCTAGTTTTATTACAACTGACCTGCAGGCAAAAGGATAGAACTATTACATAAACACTCTGATCCATGTATAATATCTTAAATAGAGGCGGAAGTCAAACCAGGATACCGGATAAAATACTCTGAAGCTCTTTGAAGCAGTTATGTTCCTGAGCTCCATTTTACAGACAATAAGGCAACATCCCTGAACATCAGCTTTTTGATAATCTTTATACATTTTTCTATGGTACAAGAAAAAAAAAATAACCAGAGTTCACAATGTACAGTTCTTACACTATTTTCACAGCTTCTGAACACTATACACCTTTTTTTTTCTTTTTTAATAAAGATACATTGTAATAAATGGTGCACCATTAATAGTTTATAATAATCTATGTTTAATACGCTAAACCTGTCCTTCTGTACAGCCACCCATGCCACAGCACCTCAACCCTGGCTTTATCACTGGCAGCTCAAAGGTTCCTGGTTCCATTTCCCATCCGTCGAAAGCCAACTGGTCACGCTGCTAAAGACGAGCTCTGGACGGGTCCGCAGCGGAGGATGGACCCCAGCCGTGCCCAAAGCGCAGAGCAAGGCAGCTGCTTGCTTTGGAGGGAACCTGATTTTTGGGAGGATCCATCTCAGTGTTAGCCCTCTGAAAGGTTTTTGGGCTCCCTGTCACTGGGGAGATGTGAATCAGACTTTAACGTCGGAGAGGTGGGGGCAGAGGCAGAGCACCTCTGCACGCACCCGTCTTTACTGGATCTGGTTTAGTCCCCCCAGCCAGCACCCCGTGAGACCGGCGCGCCCGGTTCGGGTGGCTGAAGCTGCTGAGATGAATGACAGCTGCGGGCATTCGCCAAGCCTGAGAAAAGCCGAGTTTTCTGAGGCTACGGGGCTGGGGGGAGAATTACCGCTTTAGATACGCTACGGATCTTGTTCAACTGATCCTTCCACGTGATTAATCAGAGCTGTTGGGAATGACGGGCTACTTCAGAAAGCTCTGCCGTGTCCGTTTTGGGAAGACTTTAGTGACTGCCTCGCCTGACGAGCAGCCCGGAGGAAGGGCAGAAGGACTGCACCTCCCTGCCCGGCCCGGCACGCTGCGCCCCACGGGATCACATCGGCGTCAGCCTCGGTGCCAGAGGGACCAGCTCCGACAGCCGAGCGGGAGATGCGCGGTGCCGCAAGCCTTACGCAAGGGCGTCACCTCTGCGGCCGGAGAAGCACCAGGTGTCCACACGAGCACGGCCTCGGCTCTCTCCTTTCCCAACCGAGCAGCTGGGGCAGGGACGTGCTGGTCTCCAGTGCTCCCACATCAGCCCAGTTTGCGCTTGGTAGCATTGGTTTGACGTGGGAAGCCCCTTCCTTGGGAATCCTGCCAGTACCGCCGTGTTTTCACTCCCATTGCGTCTCTAGCCCCTGCGTCCTGGGTCCGGTTTTGCCGCAGAGCTTTGACAGTAGGTCGCTCTAACATTGATGAAGTCCTACCAAGTGCCTAAACTAGACAACTCAAAGTGGAAATTACAGACCCTGCAGCCTCCATTTTATCCCTGGTATGCTACTAAATGCCTGAAAACTGCAATGTTTTGGGAAAAAAAAAAAGTTCTCAGGAAAAATTAATCTTTGAAAAATATGCCAAATTTTAAAAAACCCAACTGATACGCTTTTTTGCTCAGCAATGGCCAGAAGATGACAGCTTGCCCGGCCTCGCTGGGTCAGCCAACAGCTCACAAGGTGTTAGATGCCGCCTCATCTCCACCTCCTCTCTATCTGCACCAAACAACTCAGTGAGGTTCGCTCTAGGTGCAGTAACAAGAGCTATGGAGGGTTGCAAAAGAGGTTAATATGCCCAGAAGGTGGTGACGAAGGTCTCCAGCAAGCGAAGCAGAGCGTGATGCTTGCAGCAGTGGGGCAGGCAGAGCCCCGGCGCAGCGGGGGACATCCCCGCCATCCTGCTTGCTGTGGCGAGAAGGAAGCGCTGAGGTTTGGTCTCATGAGGGACACTGGCCTGGGCGGCGGCAGCACTGCGGGCTGGTCTCGGGGCCAGTGACAAGGAGCTAGCATCAGGGCTGGGGCCAGTGAAGAACGAGAGAAACACTGGCTAGAAATCCCAGACATTCGTTTGTGGCTCATTAAAACAGCTGCAGACTTTATGAACGGCACTTGTCGAAGTCAAAGCAAAGCCAGCTGGTGGTGAGCACTGTGCAGCTATAAATCAGGTCACAAGCAGGTTAAATTCAATCGAGTAGTTTAATAATTCTTCAGGTCAAAGGTCTTATCTTACCAGGTAACAATTTACAGGACACCTAGTTAAGAGTGAAGAGTGGCTGGCTTGGTAAAAGGAGAAAGAATACATTATGTCCCATCTCTGAATAGTTTAATGTTAGCCTCTTTCAACGCGACATATTTTTGGTAAAGACATATTCACTATATTTAACATGATCTCTCTTTAACAGGAAGTTCAGCTGAGCACACTGTCCCCAGAAAGTACACTGCGACTGTAAAGCAACAGAATTTCATAGCAGTAAATCTATTGCACTTTGTGAAGAATAAAATTCTCCTTTGCCTTTCTAGCTCCAGAAGGCAAAGCATCTCGTTGGTTAAGCAAGTTCTTCTCCCTCCAGGCAAAGTCTCTTTAATGTTCAGACAGACAACGCCTAACTTTTGTTTGTTTGCTTTTTATTATTACTTGAAACAACAATTGGAAGAGTTTGAGAGAAAAATCTTTCCAGTAGCTGCTGAGAAGTCTCCAAGTTTTGAGTCTAGAAATGAATTTTAGGTGCTATCCAATCACGGTCAACAAATAAATGTACTTATTTCCACATTTCATGAATATGTCCACAAAAGAGCAAGATGAGGTCTCTCTTTGACCAACACTAACACTGTGTGATCAGGTATTACAAGGATGCACTTTATATGTGACAACAGTATACAGACAGGATGGAAATAACACCAATATTATTGCACATGGTGTCTGGGCGAGCATTAAAAACACTGCAATATGTGATGAAAATTCTTTACAGCTTGTTTTCTCTCAGCCCTTTTTCTAGAGTTTGATGTAGCAGCAATATCAATCGACGTACATTGGAGAGCTGGGAGTTGCTGGCATTTGATCCAGGATTTTACAAACATAGCATGCAACATCCACTGTGCGTTCCTCATACATCAGGATGAAAGGATGTTTCTGGAATCAGATAAAAGAACAACAGGGTTATGTTCTCCCTTCTGACACATGCTGGCTACCCCAGATAAAAGCCTGGTGTACGGAGTTGCCTGACGCAAGAACACAGGGCTCGGTGGTGGCTGTAGGAAAAGAGGACACAGCCTGGTCCATGGCTTTTACATACAGGGAATCCGTATGGTAAATGGAGGTGGGACAGGACTCCAGGAGTGTCAGGAACTGCTGGGCAAGAGGCAGTGAGGGTGCAGTATTAGCAGCACCTTGCTCCTTTGTAGGATGGACATGTACTGAAATAATACTGTCAAGAGAGGTTTCATCATCAGCCTTGTCAGCAACGGGGAGACAGGAGTGACAGGAAGACATGGCTGGCGGAGGTCAAACAGGAGATCTGGACCCAAACCCAGTTCTCCTGAACCCTGGTCCTCTGCTCTGCCCAGGAGGCCGTACTGGACCCAACTCAGAGCAGCTGGAAAGTAACGACACGGCGACTCCCTGGGCCAGGACACCAGGTCAACTCCTTCATATCACACCACCACCCTCAGGGACCCAGGGCATGGTTTCACACATCCCCTGAAGAGGTGGCCTCCAGATGGTCAGAGCTCCTTGAAGGCACATGGTTGCCAACCCAAAAGCATTGCTGCACTCCTTCTTTAGGACCCCTCACCACAGACAGGCTCTGCTGGTGTCCTACTCCAGAGCCGTGCTCTTACAGGTCTCACTTTTGCCTGAGCACTCCCAATCCCATTGCGTTGCGTGGCCTGTGCTCTGGAGGCACTTACACATGACAGTGCTGGCCAGCAATTCGACCGGGCTCCCGCAAGGCACCAGGACCTCAAGCAAAGGCAGCATTTCCGTAGCACACCCCGCATGCTTCTGCCCGAGCCTGCCCGCTGCAGGGACCATCGATCCACTGCAACGGGGCATTTCCCCCCATGCTGATCTCCTGTGTTTATGTACAGACACTAATGGTCTCAGCCATCGTCACAACCGCAGGCCAGAGACAGCGGCACGGAATGGTGCTCTTCCTCAGGCTGCGGAGCTGAACACCCTGCCTTGATGGCCCGAGAAGACAAGGAGCAACCTCGGACATGCGACCCAGCCCCGCTGTGTGACCGGCACAGCCGCGATGGCCAGCGTGGGCAGCCATGCTTTGCACTCACCAGAAGCTCTTTATACTTTGGCCTTTTGGACTCGTCCTTTGTAAGGCTAAAGAAAGCAGAAAGAGAATTAGGAGAAGGAGGGATTGGGGAAATTGTTACAGATATCAAATGCAAATGTTTACAGGACATGATGTTGAATCTACTGCTGTCGCGGTGGGATTCACCGCCTTTTGTTTTCTGGAAAAACCATCCTTGTGCTGTGAGCGACCACAGGGACACCCCCCCGCTCCCCACATGGGTGAACCGCAGCACGGCCACCAACAAATCCTGCGGGGGTCAGAGCCCAGGGGAGCTGCAGGTGGAACGCCATCCCGACTGCCGCTGCCTCCATACGGAAACGGGTTTGACTGCAGCATAACCACAAGTTCTGGGCAGCAGCAGCTGGCCTGTGCTCCATCCATCGGGCAGCGGGGCTCAGGGGCAGAGGAGAGCCAGCGCTGCCTGCCAGGGCACAGACGGGGGACAGAGGTACCACACCATCGTCCTGGCATGGGTGGGCAGGGGCCGAGGCTGTAGCAAAGAATAGACAGCCAAACCACTCTGTGGGGCCAGGTCCAGGCTGCCGGGCCCTCCCGGCTCATCCCTGGCACTGGTGGCACCTGCAGCACTGAGCAGGCCACAGCTGCCAGGACGGGACAGGAGAGGTGACGCGGCTGCCCACGGGCGGCTGGCTGGAAAGCGTCCCCTCCTGCAGGGCTCCTCTGGCACCTCGACCACCCCAGCACAGCACAGGGGGACCGCAGGTGGCAGCAACAGCCACCAAAGCCCCTGCAGCAGGGGGAACACGGTGGGGGACAGGAGAGGCGATGGGACCAGAGGCAGAGGGGCTGCGGGACAGGGCTTGGCAATGGGGCTCCCTGCCCTGGGAGCCAGAGCTACACAACTGGGCAGGGAAAGGGCAGGTGTAGCATCTTCCCCAGACGAGGGGAGTTAAGTCTAATTCCCAACAGCTGCATTTCCATCCCCACAGGCCCTGGCTGGACCTTTCTCAAGCTCCAGCACTACTACAGTGTGGCCTCAAATTATTTGGAGAAGCAGAGGGTAATTAATGCTGCACACCCGGCGTTGCTCTGTCCTGTGACCTGCACAGGGGCAGAGAGGGAAAAAAATCCTGCAGCTGCTGCACCAGCATCTTTGCTTCAGGCTTTCACTGCCCAACAGCAACTCATTTTCTGACCTCAGCAAGTCTGGGGGTTCAAATATGCTCCTCACAACGCCTTTAAGGCAACTAGTCAGAACTTCAGCTCACAGACCAAGGTTTGCTCTGAAATTTCCATGCACACTTTCATAAAGCAGTCCTAGAAATCTTTCATTTCTTTTCCAGCTCGACGTGAAGCTGCGTGTCTGGAGCGGCCGTTTGCAGCACCAGGTGCCGTACAGCTCCTTCGCAGGAACATCTGATCTCCTCCCCAGGCACGCCGGACCTCAGGAGCTCGCGGCTCTGCTGCGAGCACGGCAAGCTCTGCAGCTGCCAGCGCCAGGCTCCCAAACGCCAGATGCAGAGCCTGGATACTTTGCAAACCCTGGAGCAGAAAGCTGAATCACGGTAAGCAGTTCCAGGAGGAGCGTGACTTCAGATAAGCATCTAACACAGGGAGGTGGGCTGAAGGGGAAAAAATGTTCCACCCAGGCATTCACAGCGCTGTTGGGATCCAAAGCAAATTGCAAAAAAAAAAAAAATATCCCAGAAACTTTTTAACATTAACAAAAATATCCTTTCCTCACTGATCTATCATGGCGAGCAGGCAGCAATGCTGCAGGACTCTCTTTCAACATTTTTCCTGACTTTTGAATGCACAAAAATAGAAGATTATTAGATTCACATTTGTAGGGTAATGCCCAGGAGATTTACGCCATCACCTAAAAGCACAGCCTTTTGGAGACTCACCTGCCTGCTTAGTAATGCCAAAGATTATTGTTTGCACTTAACTAAAGGTTATTAAGAGAAATATTTATTACAGTGTTGCTATGAAGACATCATAAATATTCCAGGCAGAAGGCAGATTATTTACAAAACCAGATTAAACAAAAACCAGAATTAGACTGAAAACTGCCCCGCGCCCTATGCGTCGTGGCTGTTCCAGAGCAGCAGGCCCTGGGAGGGGTAAACGGGCTGGAAACACGACCTGACCCCATCAGCCCCATGGGCCAAAGATGCTGCTCTTTAGCAGAGATGCCATGCAGGCTCCTCCCTTGGGTGATCTGGAGCCAAACTCACCAGCGCGTACAGGGCAGGAGAACAAGGTCCTGGCTTTGCAAACTCTGTAATGATACGGCATCTCTACGGAGAACCACATGGGAAACAAACTGTTGCTTGTACATGGGGAAAGCAACTCTGACTTTCTAACCAAATACTACAACATTTTTGACTGAAAAACGGAAACTTCTTTTGAGCAGCAAACGGTTTTGCTGCTCTATTTTCTGCAGCCCGAAGACAATAACCAGGCCTTCCTTACAGCCAGCTGGAAAGTGGAACCTGGCCTCCATAAAAATTCAGAACTCTGAAAGAGAGTAATATCCAAATCCGAAAAACATCTCCAGCAGATGGAAAACCCTGAAACAAAACCTCTTGAAAGTTAAAATCATCTAGAGCCGAGTCTGCCTGTGCCACAGAGCTTTGAGATGGACACCCCTGTGCTGGGGACATCCATCACCTGGGTCTGCCCAGGGCAGAAGGTCCCAAAAGACAAATGCAGGTCACACTGATGGATCTTCTGTGTGCTTCAGTATTAGATTAATGAAATTATGTTGACCACCTTTCACATTTTGTTAGAAAAATACTTCATCAGAAAATTCACCATCAGCCCTTAACCTAAGCAGGAGCACAGACAGGCGGCAGGCAGACGGACTGCCCCAAGGCCCTCCTGCGCAAACACTGCACACTCTCCATCCAAGACTGACCACGCTGCAGAGCCCCTGCTCTACAGAAAACCATCTCTAGTCTTGATCTGGACCTATGATTGACACAAGACATGAAGCCAACCACCAAGCAAGCCACTCGCTGCAGGTCCTGACAGTCGCTGTGCTGAGCAGAACTGGGCGGGAAGGCTCCTGGCCTTGCCAGGCAAAAGGCAGGACCGGTACAGATCCTCTGCCCAGCCACGAGACAACACTGCCAGGTGTCTCAGGCTTCTGCCTGCAGAAGAAAGGGCAAACAGCAGGTCTGTCCCAAGGCTGTGTCGTACCAAGAACAGGATGCACAGGACAGGCCTTTACCTGGTCACACAAACCTCCTGCCATGGGTCTTACCATGCCTCTCCTGAGCACAGACTCTCAGAGGTTTTCTCCTCATCCCTCCCCTGAAGAGCAGTTTCCAGAGGTCTGCCCTTCAGCCCCCACCCAGACAAGTCTCCCATCACCTCCAAACCAGTGAAATGCGAAAGGTCCTCACCCTCACATTGGCGCAGGCATGCGAAACTAAGCTAGGAGC